TGGTTATGCTCCCTAAACGTTAGGTCGTCGGACATCATTATTCCCAAATCCTTGACATGTTGCTTTCCTACTATGAGCAGATTCAATTGGGTTTTGTACCTTGTAATATGCTTCAGATCCTCATTTTTGCCATACCTGAGTACCTGGAATTTATCACTCTTTAACAATGTTATTTTCTGCTGCTCAATCAAAAAATTTGTTAATATCTGCTTGTAGTTTTTCAATGTCTTCAACAGAGGTAATTTTCATGCTGATTTTTGTGTCATCTGCAAAGGATGACACGAAGCTGTGACTTGTATTTTAGTCTATATCCGATATGAGAATAGGGAAAAGCAGTGGTGCAAGGACTGTACCTTGAGGAACAGAGCTTTTAACTGCGCTTGGACTCAATTTTATTTGATTGACTGTTATTCTGTGTTCTATTCGACAGGAAATTGAGTATCCAGCGTCCTACTTTACCAGTTATTCCCACTGACCTCATTTTGTGTGCTATCACTCCATGGTCACATTTGTTGAATGCCTTTGCAAAGTCTGTGTATACAATATCAGCATTTTGTTTTTCTTCTAAAACTTCTGTGATTTTGTCATAGTGGTTGAGTAACTGAGACAGGATCTTCCCACTCTAAATCCACGTTGTCCTGGGTTATGTAGCTCATTATTTTCCATAAAACTAGAAATTTGATTCCTAATCACTCTTTCAAAAACTTTTATTATGTGATGTTAATGCAACTGGTCTATAATTTTTTCCCAAGGCTTTACTTCCCCCCTTGTGCAGAGGAGCTATACTGTATCTGCAGATTGAAGCACAGCCGGTATCTCCCCTGTATCAGGGTCTTTCTCCATATTACGCTGAGCTCCAGTATCCACATTCACGCTCCAGTATCCACATCCACGCCCCAGTACCCACATCCACGCCCCAGTACCCACATCCACGCCCCAGTACCCACATCCACGCTCCAGTATCCACATCCACGCTCCAGTATCCACATCCACGCTCCAGTATCCACATCCACGCTCCAGTATCCACATCCACGCCCCAGTACCCACATCCACGCCCCAGTACCCACATCCACGCCCCAGTACCCACATCCACGCCCCAGTACCCACATCCACGCCCCAGTACCCACATCCACGCCCCAGTACCCACATTCACGCCCCAGTACCCACATTCACGCCCCAGTACCCACATTCACGCTCCAGTACCCACATCCACGCTCCAGTACCCACACCACACTCCAATATCCACATCCACACTCCAGTACCCACATCCACACTCCAGTACCCACATCCACACTCCAGTACCCACATCCACACTCCAGTACCCACATCCACACTCCAGTACCCACATCCACACTCCAGTACCCACATCCACACTCCAGTACCCACATCCACACTCCAGTACCCACATCCACACTCCAGTACCCACATCCACACTCCAGTACCCACATCCACACTCCAGTATGCTGGAACTTGATGGAACAAAGGTTCAGTAATAGGCCCAGAAGTTGTACGACTATGGCTGCCTATGGAGGCTGCAGAGGTAATATATCACTGCTAATATTGGTAATCAAATACTATCTTGAGGTTATCTTGAGATGTTTTAGGGGCTTTTAGTGTCCCCGCGGCCCGGTCCTTGACCAGGCCTCCACCCCCAGGAAGCAGCCCGTGACAGCTAACACCCAGGTACCTATTTTACTGCTAGGTGACAGGGGCATAGCATGAAAGAAACTCTGCCCATTGTTTCTCGCCGGCGCCCGGGATCGAACCCAGGACCACAGGACCACAAGTCCAGCGTGCTGTCCGCTCGGCCGACCGGCTCCTTTAGGCTAGACTGGAGATCTCCCAGAAATTTAGGAAAGGGCAGAGTCCCACTATTAAAAATCAAGGAGAGATAAGAGAGACTATATAGACTAGTGTCACTGACATGCATTCATTAAGTACCGGAGAGAGTAACCAGGGTAAAAATAATAAAACGCCTGGAAAGAAAACGTAATTAGAAACCCACAAACTTTAAGGGAGAAAAAGTGATGCTTGAAAACAATCATAAAAAGAGCATTACATGGGTATCATAACAGTGGCCCATACAATTTGGTAAATTTTAGAATTGTCTGTATGTACTGTACAAAGCAAACCACTAATGATTTTAGAGTGTATTATACATCAGACAACTGGAGAATGCAGCTGTGGTCTGTTGCCTACACCCAACAAAGCATTCAGTAGGAAGCTGCTGGTATTTAAGCCGGCCAGATGTAATGTAAGGATTCTGTTCCAGTCAAATGCTTGGAAAGGATTGCAAGACTGGATGCTATAAAAAATAACAAAAATAAAAGTTTTGGTCAAGCAAAAAGAAAAGTAATACAAACCTCTGTTCGTATAGAGTTTCCTGTCATATGACCATCGTGGTTGGAATCCACAACATTTGCTGGCGACTGTCCCTGTTGTGTACGTTCCTCCACACAATTATTTTTAACTTCTTCTTCTGATTCGTTCACAGCCTCTCTAGTACCAGGTTCTAGCTTGTCAGACACTACACTTTCAGTTCTTGTCGTCTTATCAGGACTAGACTTTTGCCTTCGCTGGCCCCCTCCACCACGACCCTCAGCAGTGGGGTCATCTTCGTCTGACCAACCAGGACCATGAAAAGCACCCGACGCGTCAAAACTCCCCCCTTTTTCATCTGCATTTTCCGTAGCCCTGAAGAATGAGCAATACCGTGCTTATATTAAAATATCCAAAGAATACATATTAGTATTACAGTACTATACTTCAATTACCTAAACATTAGTAATAAATAAGGAAAAACTGTTAGTTTGTAAACATTTTAGAACCCATTCTAAGAAAATGTGTAAATTTACTTCTATAAAATCAATGATTTAAATGAGGATAAAATTATCAATGAACATTAAAAACTTGCAGCAAGTTAATAAATGAAAACAAAAGTACCTAAGACTTTAATCTGTTACTATACCAAAGCATCAATAATATATCAAACTAAATATGCCAATATTCCAATTTACCACATACTACTCGAATAGCCTACTGGCATTTGGTACCCAAAAACCTTCGAGTGGACGGAAGAGCACCAGTCTCACTTCTTGCAGGTTGGTTTCAATCCCCGACCATACAAGTGGTTGGGCACTATTTCTTTCCTTCATCCTGTCCTAAATCTTTATCCTTTCTAAGTGCTATATAGTCATAAAGGCTTAGTGCTTTCCTCTTATAATGTTAATAATGTCAATGTTCCGGCATTTGGCGACGTACAACCTATATTCCAAAGTACATTCACAGCCAATTCTTCATAGCAAGAAGAAACAAAATACTTAGGTAACATTACACTACAGTCAGCATGAGAGAAAGGGTCTGGGAAAACCACATTGTAAATAAATTCATGCAAAATAAACCTGAACATAATTACTAAGGATTTCTGCCACTACCCAACAACAAATGTACTACTGTAACCCCGCGATTATCCGGGATTCAAACATCCGGAAAACGCCCTTATACGGCCAAATTCGTGATCGGATAAAGTTATCACAATATCCGGCCAAAATGGCCTCAAGAACCGGATAAAAGCTGGTTTGGCCGGATGAATATTCGGCCATACCGTATTAATCCCGTCTGTGGCTCTAGACGCATGGTGGAGGAAGGAGTGGGGTGGGTGGGTGGTGTCGGGAGGGTGGGAGGGGTGCGTCGGAAGGGACCACCTAGGTACAGGAATTACCATTAATTTTAGAACACTTAATCATAGCCAAAAACAAATGAAATAAGTACTAGTAATTATGTAATAACAAATAAATAAGTTTCCTAAAATTAATGTGCACAGGCTGAAGTTTCCTTAAAAAATATTGAGTTTTTTTTCCTCCTGGCAGCCTATGTAATGCGCTATAGCTGCCCCACCCCAAGTGGACCTGTCCAACACTGGTCAACCCATGTGCATCCGTCCCTCATGTTACACACAGTGCTGCAACATTAGTGAAATATTTTTTTTAATAACGTTTTTTTATTTTCATAGTAACTTTGAACATTTTTGGCCAAGATTATGTCTGGTAGCAGCATCAATCCTTCTGGAGGTGTTAAGAGGAAGAAAGTTGTCCTAACAATTAAAGACAAGTTACTGTTATACACCTCAACCAGTGCGGCGTCACAGTGCTGCTCCATTAGTGAAATATTTTTTTAAATAACTTTTTTATTTTCATAGTAACTTTGAACATTTTTGGCCAAGACTATGTCTGGTAGCAGCATCAATCATTCTGGAGGTGTTAAGAGGAAGAAGGTTGTCCTAGCAATTAAAGACAAGTTATGTGTTGTTCAACCAGTGAGGCGTCACAGGCAGCCAAATGCCTTCAACAAGTGAGGCGCCACAGGCAAGCCAAGCGCCTTTAACAAGTGATGCGCAAGCAAGCAAGCGCCTTCAACAAGTGAGGCGTCACAAGCAAGCCAAATGCCTTCAACAAGTGAGGCGTCACAGGCAAGCCAAGCGCCTTCAACAAATGAGGGCATGCAAGCGCTTCAACAAGTGAGGCGCATGCAAGCGCCTTCAACAAGTGAAGCCTCACAGGCAACCCAAATGCCTTCAACCAGTGAGGCTTCAGCAGCTGGCAGTCAAAACTAACTTTGCTTAATGAACTGTACAGTAATTTTAAGTGTTAATTTTAGTGTTGTGTTAGTATAAGTTACGTAAATTGTTAAGAATTCTTAACTTCAAGATGTGTGGCATCAATCAAGAAGACGAACACCAACAAGGTAAGTTGAGGTTTCTAGTTGAATATTTAATAATTATATGTGGCAAGGCAATTCAAATTATGTTGTTTGTAGTATAAAAGTAGTTGGAAATTGTCACTTTTGGACTCGTAGGTGAAAAAGTACCATTATCCGAAAAATGTGATAATCCGGCTGGGGGTCCTTCCCATATAGTCCGGATGATCGAGTGGAGACAGTACATAAAACAAATTTGAACACAACTATCAGATGATGGTAACGATTCCCATTAATTTGTTCGTGGCATCATCATTAGGTGCAGCAGGCATCATAGTATGGCAGGAAGGTATCAAGATTATCATCTTTATAATCTTTATAGATTATCATCTATAAGGAGCAAAAATATACAAAATCCTGCACAACTTGTGCCAAATGCAATATGGCTTGGGCTTAACACATTTTGATACTGAATGTATCAGAGCCGGATTTATAAGTGGGCAAAGAGGACAACTGCCCTCTAGTCACTGAACATACAGTGTGATCACACTAAGGACCATTCATGCCTGCATAATTGCAAGGTCTTCCAAGACTGGATGATCCTGATACCGGCTTGATGGGAATCTGAGAGTTCTTCTACTCCCCAAGCTCGGCCCAAGGCCAGACTTGACTTGTGAGAGTTTGGTCCACCAGGCTGTGGCTTGGAGCGGCCCGCAGGCCCACATACCCACCACAGCCCGGTTGGTCCGGCACTCCTTGAAGAAAAATGTATATTTTTCTCTTGAAAATGTCCACCAATGTTCCGACAATATTTCTGATACTCACTGGGAGGATGTTGAACAATCGTGGACCTCTGATGTTTATACAGTGTTCTCTGATTGTGCCTATGGCACCCCTGCTCTTCACTGGTTCTATTCTGTATTTTCTTCCATATCGTTCACTCCAGTACGTTGTTATTTTACTGTGCAGATTTAGGACGTGGCCCTCCAGTATTTTCCACGTATATATTATTTGATATCTCTCTCTTGTCTCCTATCTAATGAGTATATTTGGAGATTTTTTAGATGATCCCAATAATTTAGGTGCTTTATCGTGTCTATGTATGCCATGTATATGTTCTCTGTATTCCCTCTATTTCAGCAATCTCTCTTGAATCATCCTAATGATGAGAAGGAACATATTACACATAGTTAACAGAATATTATTATCTCACAGAATATCAAATAAGAAGCTCTCAAAGCAATATATCTGGATTGTATCTAGATGGGAGTTTGGGAGTTCTATCCAAACCCAGCCTGTGGCTAGGCTAGTCTTGAAAGCTCAATCCAACAGGCTGTAGCTAGGAGCAGCCTGTAGGCCAACATATCCACTACAGCCCTGTTGGTTCGGCACTTCTTGCAGAAAACTGTCCAGTTTTTCTCGAAGACTTCCACTTTTGTTCTGGCAATATTTATTATACTTGCTGGGAAAATATTAAACAACCATGAACCTCTGATCTTCTTACAGTGACTGTGATCCTGTGACTGTGCCTATGGCACTTCTACTCTTCAATGGCTTTCTTCTGCATTTCCTTCCATTAAGTTCCCTCAACTACCGTTGTTATTTTACTGTGCAAATCTGGGACCAGGCTCTCCAGTATTTTCAATGTGTATATTATTTGATACCCCTCTCATCTCCTGTCTAGCCACCGCACTGCGCAGAGTGCCTCTGCGCGCTTGTGGGTACAGCGTAGGATTCAAAATTGGCGAGCGGTGACTCGGGAACGAAATGAATGCCCGAGGCCTCCAGTGATTGTCCGCCATTTTGAAAAAAAATCTCAGCATGCCCCACAGCCATGGGAAGCCCTAGTTTCAAAGTAGCAACCATGTCTGACAACATCTATGAGCTCCCGGTCCACGGTCAGCCGCAGTGCTGCAAAATGACTCTCAGAGGACGACACATGGGAACTATTGTTTGACGATGGACCGATTACTGATGATTCAGACAACAGTCCAGATAAAGACCTAACACAGGGGTCTGACTCGAGTGATGGGGAGAATGCGGTGGACGATGTCGAGTGTGTGTACAGTATACGCACCTCGCCCAGCGGGAAGCCGGGTCATGGTAATGGGTCAACACCGCTGGAGTTACCATTACCATCTGTGTCACCTGACGTGAGTTGACTTGGCGATAGTACATGTGATGAGTCATTTTCTAGGTTCAGTGACAGGCTCAGATACAAGCAGTGTTGATGAACCAAGTGCAAGCGGCTATTGCATTACTAGGCAGAGTTTTGCTGCCCCAGCACCTCACCAAGGCATGCGCCAGCATGTCACACAGCCTGAGGATGTTGATGACAGTGCCCCCTCGACATCAGGTGTTTGAGGTAGGCTTATACTACGCAGAAGTTTCATCTCCTGGCATACCCATATGCAGCTCTTGCACAAGACGACAGAGCCAAGTGTTGGCGCCAAATTAAAAAACATTGGTGTACTTGTGCGATAGGGACTACACGTAATTGACTCTGGAATTTTACCTGCCTCTCAATTGACACATTGGAAAGACACGACTAATGAGGAAATGTGTGTGTTTTTAGCGTTGTGCATGATGATGAGGCATGCAGATAAACACATGATCCAGGAATATAAGAACAAAAACATCCTTGTTCCAACCCCCTTGTTCAACAGTTATATGTCATGTGATATGTTCCTGCACTTTAAGAACAATGCTAATGAAGACAGACACTCAACAGACTGTGAAATGTGCGAAAGATATTTAGCGAACTGAGAGGAAAGTTCTGTGACTATTTTGTACCAGCACAGGCTGTCGTGATAGACGAGTCGAAAGTTCTCTTCAAGAGACGACTTGCTTTCAAGCAGTGTGCCAGTCAAAGCAGCACCGGTTTGGACTAAAGTTCTTCATGTTATGTGGCTGCAAAACTGGTATGGTAATGGACATGATATTGTATTTAGGTACGGATGTTGACATACAAGGTCAAGAGCCACACGGGGTTCTCAGGCAGTGTTGTGAAAACACTCGTGGAACTATTGCTGAACAAGGGGCATATCCTGCTCTGGGACAACTACTATATCAGCCCTTTGTTGACTAGATTCCTCCTTGACCACAACACCAGCGTATATGGCACTGTCAAGGCCCACAGGAAGGCAATGCCAATGTTTGGCAATGGTATTGCAGTGGGTGAATGCCAGTTGAGAAAGTGTGATCAAATATTATCCACGCGCTGGAAGGACAGATGCGAGGCGAGTATGTTGATAACTATTCACATCGTTGCAGTGTTGGACAGTGACAAAGTGAACTTTGCAACAAGGTTGCCAATGTATAAACCTGATTGTGTCATTGACTACAATGTAAATATGCAGTTAGTAGATAAATATGACATGATGGTCGGTGTTGTCGAGTGCATGAGAAAATCTGTGAACCGAACGAAGAATATTTTTCCACCTCATTGACATCGCAATGCTGAACTTTTCAGCACGAATCTCATAAAATCTGGCAAGAGACCACCAATCCATACATTCAGTGTTGCTCTAGTGTCACAACTACTCGTAAAACATGGGGTGGAGGGCATTGTTGTGATGCATGGGGTGCCAGCAACAGTGCCTCACACAGTTCCTGACAGACTCAGGAGTAAAGAACACTTTGCTGTACACAAGCGCGGTTATATGCCAAGCGCAGGCACACAAGAAAAGCGTAAAACGTGCCTGCAATATTCGCAGGAACACGCAACGTAGGGAACAGAAGCGAAGATCCATCTGCACTTGGTGCGTTGAGTGCGAAGATGCCTTGTGCCCCGTTGACTACTTCAGTGATTATCTCACACTCGCACAGTTCTAAGTGTGTATTGATAGTGATGTATATATATGTAGTCTGTGGTAATGTACAGCGTGTAAATAAGTTGTAAATGTAAATAATTGAACATGTACTATAGAAAATATGAACAATGTTTGTGGACATTTGTGATACATGTAACACAGTTTCTTTGAACAGTACAGATGATCTACTGTCTGAATACTGTGAACCTGTTCAATATACTATACATAGGCTTAGCCAGAAAAACAAAAGAAATGCATTTGTAATTGTGTGGGGAAAAAAAACAGTGTTGAAGGTAATGAAACGCCATTTTCTGGATGAGACCTGGAGCTAATTGAGCTGATATAAATGTATTAGACCCTGCCATCAGTCAAGCGAATGGAGTTCTTAGGCCTGCCATGGACCACGAGCCAGAACCTGACCCTCTCAGAGAAGCAAGAGGAGCAACGGCATATAGAAGCCCCCGTGTGGTTGGAGGCATTCTATGTCTGCCATCAACCGGGTCAGGCACTCAGAAAGGTAAACACCCCAAAACAAACCCCGATTCTGGTTAAGAAATTGCTACTGAAAGCTGAACTAGTGGACAGAACTCCCCAAATGAAAACGAGCAAACGAGCATGACGTGACCACGTCACCGCACCACTGACTGTGCAGCTCCCCCATCCCCGGGAGGGGGAGCCTCAGACCTTTATTGTGTTTATGCATGCCATATATGTTCTCTGATTCATTCTACTTTAGCAATATCTCCTGCTCTGAAGGGGGAAGCGAGTATTGAGCAGTATTCAAGGGAGGAGAGCACAAGTGATTTTATTAGTACAGTATGAGCATTGTGATGGGATCCCTGGAAGTGAGACCGAGACACGAGTGTGTTGGTGACTGATATGCTGCTGCACTGACGACAAAGTTAACATACTATATTTTTTACCTCTACTGCCTTTGCTCTCACTCTAAGCTTACAACATATGCACCCCTTTTTCAAGTACATTCTAATATTGGTTCTTCAGCCTTTCATATTTAATATATCTAGCTCGAATCATATGACCGACCACAAAATACACTTTTCCGGTCTACAGCCATCTTGTCGAGGTGGCTTGATCTCCTTACATTTTGCTAGGCATCTTTCATTTCCAGTTTAAAAAAAAAAAGCAGAACTTTATTTTAAGATCTAACTGAAGATCTACTTTACTGTTACATACTGAAGAATTGAGTGAGCAACTCTGCCCCTAACATGAAAGATTTATGAATGCACCAATGTCTCAAGACACACTCAAGATCAATATTTATGCCACCAATATAAAAATAAATTAATACAGTACTTACCACTCTGGTAAATTATCTTCATCCCATGATTTTCGTAGATGGCCATCTTTTTCATCCCAGGGTGGGCGAGAGCCACGAGACGAGACAGGGACCCCCCGGCCAGTACCTCGACCCATTCCTTCTTCCCATTCACCATCTTGACCATTTTCTCGTTCACGCCATCCACATCGAGGTCCTGAGTAAAAGATATAAAATTAAATTAACTTACTTTCTTTAGTGTATATCTAACAAAATGTTAATAAGATACAGTTAAACCACAAGAAAATGGGGGTTCAACAATCAAAACCATATTCTCTATAATGAGGTGCTTTTTGGTACATTTTCTAAATTGGTCAAAGAGTTATACTCTAATGCGATGGACAATCATCTTCAACCTCATTTATTTTATTTATGACATGTCGGCATACATACCTATCTATGCCTTCATCAGATCTGCATTGGCACAAACAAAATACAATATATTAGGATGCATGATTGCCACATTTCTTAGTAGTCAAAATAATTAAATCAGGTTCAGGTTGAACAAGTGTTCAAAACAAAGATTTTCATGTTCTAATTATTGTGTTTTGGGCCATTTCAATGCAAAAGCACATTCTTTGATCTTGAAACAGTTAACAGTGCTCATCATTATTAAATTGAGAGAAATGCAAAATAAGTTATATTACTTGTAAACACCATGGATTTTTCTGCATAAAATCTATAAAGCGTTAATTTATAGAGCACAAATTTTACATTGTGCTTACTTCTCAGTGAGTACAGGTAAGTGAGATCCAGCTCTTCATGCCTCTGCCTCCTAGATGTTTATACTTGGTATACTAATTGCCCCCCCCCTCTCGATATTAATGTTTCATCATATTTCTTTTTAAAGTTGTAACTGGAAATGGCTTCAACAACCTCTTCCTTCAATCCAATCCATTTTCCTACCAACTCATACAAGGAACGAGAACCTCCTTACATCTCTTCAACTCAATTGCATATCGAGCGTCCACCAATGTAGTTATATTCCCTCTGATTCTTCTCTCATCTAAGGTTATGAGGGTTAATTCTCTCGCACTAAAAAACCAGCGTTGAATGTAATGAAACGCCATTTTCTGGGTGAGACCCGGAGGCTCCCCGGAGCTTTACCGGCTGATATGCTAATGTCAGACTTTGGCATCAGTCATGTGTATGGAGTTCTAGGGCCTACCGGGGACCACGAGCCAGAACCTGGCCCCCTCAGAGAGGCAAGGGGAGCAATGGCCTATAGAAACCCCCGTGTGGTTGGAAGCATTCTATGTCTGCCATCGACCGGGTCAAGCATCCAGAAAGGTAAGCATTCCAAAACAAACCCCTATTCTGGTGAAAATTGCTACCTAAGCCGAACTAGTGGATAGAACTCTTCAACAGAAAACAAGGAAACTAGTATGACGTCATACGTCACCGCGCCGCTGTCTGCGCAGCTCCCCCCTCCCCAGGAGGGGGAAGGGGGAGCCCCAGACCTCCCACGCCGGCTATCCACCCACCAGTTCTGAGGCTGGATGTCAAAACACGCGAAAAACGCCGACCGGAGGGAGGGAGGGTTGCCGGGGAGCCTCCGGGTCTCACCCAGAAAATGGCGTTTCATTACATTCAACGCTGGTTTTCTGGGGGGAGCCCCGTCGGCTCCCCGGAGCTAACTACCCACAGAGGAAGGTCAAAGGGACAAAACCGGGAGGCGGACACCACGCACCCCCCAAGGAGGCGAGACAACTGGCAGCAAATGCCAACCCAAGGCGCCACAGCCCCGAAAATCCTGGGAACAACACGAGAACCACGAGCAGCAAGGCCCCTGCACGAACACCAAAAATCCATGCCCGAAAGACTGCAAGGCCACGTCGCCCAGATGGCAGCGAGAGCAGCGAAGCCACGAACGCCACAGGCATGAGGGAAGAACACAGGCAGCTTAGCCGCAAGAACACGGCTGACCACCTGGGACACCATCACCCGCGAACCGGGAAGAACAGAACCGGATCAACGCAAAACGCGCTCCGGACCCAAACGCCGTGGCACGCAAACAACAGCGGAGGGCCGCCACTGAACACACAAACGACACCCCCGGCCCGACCAACGAAGCACCAACAAACCCTGGACCCCTCCAGAATGCAGCAGCCCCACCCCGCGCCAGAAAAGATGGAGACTGCTGCCATCAAACAACCAAAACGCTAAAACCGAAGGAGCAAGAAAACTCAGCGAACCGACCCCCAGAGGCAAAGGCCCAAAGGAAAGAGCCGACGAAAAAACACACCGGAACCGAAGGGGCACTACCAACCGAGGAGAAGACAGAGCACGCTGACCAGAGACCAGGATGGTGCAAGCGGCGCACGAACAGGCCGGAGGTGAAACGACGCACAAGACAGCTGACTAACGGTGCAGAAGCAACACCAAGACCGAAAGCAAGCTGAAGCGGCTCCGCCTGCGCCGCACGAAAAGAGGCGACAGTATGTGGCAAGACGACGGCCCCCAACCCCCACTAGAAAACCAAGCCGAGAGTAAACCAAGCCAACAAGAGTAACCACCTAAGAAGGGACAGGAAAAGGAAGGACCGCCAAAATACCCCATACTGCCGCCAAGAGAAGCACGCAGGTGGGACACCTACCACGAAGCCACCCGACCACCAACCGGAGGCGAGACCACAAGGCAGAACATAAGCAGCCCCGACAAGGCCCCCCCGAGCCCAGGAAAAAGGCGGAGCCGCGAGAAGATCTCGGGCGCGACCACCGAAATCCAGGCGGCACAAGGAGATGGAACGTCTGCCGAACAGAAAAACTCCCCAAAGCATGCAAGCCCGCCAGGAGTTCAGAAACGACGGGTCCGACGCGAGACATCGCAAGACCCCCCAAAAAAAAAAAAAAAAAAAAAAAAAAACAACCGGCAGGGCAGGAAAACCAAAGAAGGCGGAAGGGTCGCCGCCAGAACAGGACCCGAACCAAGGGGCACGAACAACTGCAATAGACTGAGACAAAGAAGCACATCACAGGACACAGGCTGACCAACGCCTAAGAACACACGCAGAACATCCCTGCTGCAGAAGAGGCAGGAAGAAAGAGCAGAAGCACAAAAAACCCCAGGAGAACAACCAGGGGTGGACAATCAGGCAGGGACAAAAACCGCACGCAATCCCCAGGCACAAAACGGCAGCAAAGTGCCACTCCACAACCGGACACAGGAACAAGGACACGCCACCGTGAAACACGGTACCAATGCACACGTGCAGCAGCAGCAGCAACTTGTAAATAGCAACTCCCCTCTGCAAAGGCAGAGAACGGAGCAGGCAGACCCCAGACAGGGCCAACGGAGACACTACAAAAACCTTGCAGGCCCAGAAACCTGCACCAGGCGACCGACGGCGGAGAAACCCCGCTCGATACCTGCTGGATGAGGTACTGGGAGCTCTTTTACACCTGAAGCCCGGTCCAAGGCTAGGCCAGACCGGCCAGAGGATGGCCCACCAGGCAGCTGCTAGGAGCAGTCCACCGGCCCACATACCCCCACAACCAGGACGGGCCGGAACTGCCATACGAAAACAGGCCAGTGCGCCCTGGAAGTCCACGGACGAACCAGCAAGAAGGCTTATGCTCGCAAGTAGGTCGTGTAACAAGCACAGACCACTGATGGTAATACAGTGTCCCCAAAAGTGCCAATAGCACCACTGCACTCCACTGGTACTATCCCGCAAGTTCTACCAGATAGGCGGGACCCAAGAGCCAGAGCTCAAATCCTGCAAGCACAGCCAGGAGCCTCACCAGGTGAGTACAGAACCAACCCTACAACCCCCACACCTCACAACATTAAAAAGGAGGGTCCCCTGAATGACACCAGCATGGGTTGGACATGCACATGAGGGGGACAGGAAGGGGTGATAAGGGACAGTCACTGGTGTGCGAACGGTCTCAGTCGTACAAAATATACCTAAATAAAGACAGGTATAGAAACACCGCCGCATCCAGCGCCCGGCTAAAAGACGCCAGACTGCAGAAACTCACCTGGCGAATGGTGGCACGAACTTGACACGACTCAACCGTGCCCAGAAGAACTTGAGAGCACCGCCAGGTGAAGACGCCAGAGCCGGACCCTGCCGGACCCGCAGGAGAACAGGGAGAGGCGAAGGAGGCGGTACACACCCATGACACAGGGAAAACCGCGGTGTCCTCCCCACAACAGGGAACCAGGACACCCTCGGCGCGAAGGGGCACATACCGCAGCCAGGGAGAAGAACGAGAGGCGAAGCACTGTAGCAAAAAAGGGCGCAAAACCCCAGCACTTTAACACCGCCCAGACCAAAACAAACTCCACGGCGCATGCGCATAACACGCTGGCCGAACCGCACACCCTCCCTGCGGGAAGGCGCCAGCCAGGACTACTGCACGAGAAAAGGAGCCAAAAGAGGAAGCAGGAACAATAAAACCGGCCAAAGAAGCAAAGAGCCAACCGGGCGAAAAGGAGCCCAACCGGGCGACAAGCAGCCCAACCGGGCGACAAGCAGCCCAACCGGGCGACAAGCAGCCCAACCGGGCGACAAGCAGCCCAACCGGGCGACAAGCAGCCCAACCGGGCGACAAGCAGCCCAACCGGGCGACAAGCAGCCCAACCGGGCGACAAGCAGCCCAACCGGGCGACAAGCAGCCCAAACCAGGGCGACAAGCAGCCCAACCGGGCGACAAGCAGCCCAACCGGGCGACAAGCAGCCCAACCGGGCGACAAGCAGCCCAACCGGGCGACAAGCAGCCCAACCGGGCGACAAGCAGCCCAACCGGGCGACAAGCAGCCCAACCGGGCGACAGTAGCCCAACAGGGCGACAAGCAGCCCAACCGGGCGACAAGTAGCCCAACAGGGCGACAAGTAGCCCAACAGGGCGACAAGTAGCCCAACAGGGCGACAAGTAGCCCAACAGGGCGACAAGTAGCCCAACAGGGCGACAGGGCGACAAGTAGCCCAACAGGGCGACAAGTAGCCCAACAGGGCGACAAGTAGCCCAACAGGGCGACAAGTACGAGGAGCCGACAGACGTTCCAATAATGCGGGAAGTAGCGAAAAACCTTCCCGTACCCTCGAGAACACAGAAGCCAACACTAGTCCCGAAGGCACACGAAGGCGCAGGCGCACCCGAGATCAGAAGTCACGCAGAACCCCACCGAACGGGGAAACATGACAAAAAC